CCATACCCACAATCTGGCATTAGGGGGACAGCATCACCAGGTCAACATACGTGGCTTCCTGGTCCTTGCTGCCACCTCTTTGAGAAATGCTGAAACCAGGAAACACTAAGCTCCAAAAGTGGGCTGCACCCCAAAAGCTCCCCACTAACTAGAAAAAGAATCATATATAGTAAGAGTATGTGTCCCACCAATGAAAATTCACAAATAGTAACTCTATTGAAAATAGTACAACACTACAGTTTTGCAGTGGCTCAAGTGGTTAAGACGCTGAACTGCAGGCTGTGGAAGGTCAGTAGTTCAGCAGTTTGAGACCCGAGTTGCCACATGACGGAGTGAGCTCCCGTCTCTAGTTCCAGCTCCTGCCAACCTAGCAGCTCGAAAGCAAGAAATTGCAAGTAGATAAATAGGTACCACTTCGGTGGGAAGGTAACAGCATTCCGTGTGCCTTGATGTTTAGTCATGCTGGCCACATGACCACGGAAACGTCTTCAGACAGCGCTGGCTCTTCGGCTTGGAAACGGAGATGAGCACCGCAACCCTAGAGTCGGACTCGACTGGCTTTCGAGCAAGGGAACCTTTACCTTTTTACAGTCAAATACAAGAACTGTGCAAATGAGCTCACAAAATTTACAAAAACACAGTTGCCAAATGAACAAATAGGATGTAGTCAAGCAAAATCTAACTACAATAGCTGAGCCATCGTATAAAAATGGGAACCAGAACGTTCAAAGATTACAAAACGTTATGTACCATATAACAGAGAATAACAGCGATACAAGGTCCCGGTATAGTATCCTTGTTTCCATAAGAATTCTTCTTCAGTCGATGTGAAACATAAATATGAAAGGAAAATATTCTGTGAAATACAATGGATATCCTGTAAATGCTTACAGCACTAAAAAGTAAGACACACTGCAGTGCTTTTGAGGTGCAGCCCACTTTTGGAGTTTAGTGTTTCTGGTTTCAGTATCTCTCTCACTCTGTTGTCCTTTGTTGTTTTTGTACACCTCTTTGAGAAATGGCATTTGACAAGAGCCCCCTCCCCCTTCGAGAGAGGGGGAGAGGCGTATTGGAGTACTGAAAGCCTGCAGTAGCAAGGTTTGGGGGGAAGGGGGAGTCTTGCAGTGTCAGGCCAGTGGGGTGCTGAGGAGACTGAAGGGGTTGTTCCGCATGTCTTGGTTTGTCGCTTGTGTGCCTGTATTCCATCCTCTTTTTTTTTCTTTTCGGCTCATGTTTTGCTCCCTGTAGTGGTCACTTCAATAAGTGCTCAGGAATTAACTGATGATACAGTGATGAAATATCAAGCTGATCACTAGAGGGAGCAAAACACATGCCGAAAAGGGCATAGTGCAGATACACAAGCAAAAAGAAATATGTGCAAAACAGCCCAGGAAATAGGGTGACTAGGGCTGGATTTCATATACTTATTGGACACAAGGCAGTCCCTGGGAGATCAGGCTGAATATGGATGCCAGTCTTGTCTAATACTATTTTTGAGTGGTTTTGTAATAATAAATTATGGCAACAATGGCATCATTTGCCCAGAGCTCTGTGAGATAGGAAATCCCATCATAAATCACACAAGTTCATTCTGGGAAGGAGGGGCAATAATGTGTGTGTGTTTTTACTTACTACATACACACTGCATTCAAGACAGTTTATAAATTTTTTTTTAAATTGCCCACAATAGAGTACACAAAAGGGAAGAAAGAGCGAGGAAGGAAAGAGGTAAATTAGCCAATTTAGGTACCACTTCATAGATGACTTTCAGTGCAATCCTAAACAGAGTTACACTCTTCTAAAATCTTTGAAGTCAATGTGCTTAGAAGAGTGCAGCTTTGCTTAGGACTGCACTGTGAGGCAATGGCTGTATAATTCCCAGGTGGGATGGCCAGTGCAGGAGATAGTTCAAGGAGGGCTGCAAGGAGTTGTACTGACTTTTCTTTTTTCCTCACAGCATTGTTGTGAGAATAAAACAGGGGAGGAAAGAAGGAAGTGAAAAGCTGCTTTGGGTCACCAGTGGGAAGAAAAGCATGATAGACAGAACAACAGATTTCTGTGTGTTTTGAGTGGGTTTTTCCATATATAGCTGGCATGGCATTGCCTGCATGCTCACGTGATTGGTGGGGGTTGGCTCTTTCAGAAAGTATCTTTTCTCTGAACTAGGGAGCAGGGGATATCAACTTGCAGCTTTGGCATTACATGGGCATCAGTGATGTACTGACATCACAAGTTTTAGGATTGGGCTGCCTGGCTACTAGAGAAGTGTGGGTACAAAATAAGGATTTATTTAAAAAAAAAAAAAAACCCAGGCAGCAACTGTCAGTAAAGATATAGCAAGTGCTTAAGCTTTCAGCAGCTATGCCTGTCTAATGCAGAGGTGAGAAGCCCTTTTTTTGAAATCCAGAGACTGCACCATCAATTTAAATTGCCTGTTTGCCATGCCAGGGGGGGGGCATGCGAACTCCTGTGCTTGCTCATTCTCTCATTCACACTTTTTAGCTGGAGACAGAAAGCTTTCATCAGGGATGAAGATCGTATTTCTTCTGTTCCACTATCTTATTGTGTCAGAAAGGTTTTGTGTCTTTCCGAAGCACCACAAAACCCAAAAACATCTGACCAGAGACAAAAGCACTCCCACAGACAATGACGCCTCTTTCCTACTACCTTCATTCCTTTGGAATAAGTGCTGCCTGCTCTAGCCCGTCTCACCCCCTGCTCTCTGGAAGAGGAGGCCTCTCAAGATAGTCCATACATTTCAAGCAGTCCAGTTCTGGAGTTTGGTTTGTGGGGGGGGGGGGGGGGAGGTTGCCTGTCACTTTTTTGTGCTAACAGAAGGAATCCGCTCACAAGGACCATTAGTGGGGTGGTGGTATTATTATTATTATTACTATTATTATTAATGGTAGCTCTGGATCTTAACTGATGTTCCATGATTAAATTCTGAAATCCTCTGGCCCTGAATTTTTGCTAGATCAGCACTAAATAGTGTTGCACCTAAAGTGTATTGCAGCCATGTCAGGATTAAATTATTTTCAGAGGCGAGCGTTTTGTCAAAGAAGCACTTTCTCAGCATTGCATTTTTAGATGGACTGGACCAGGCATTGCTTGAAAATGTGAGGTTTTTCTGGCAATACTGTTTTACTGAAAGGTTGAGCCTCAGGCAGCAATGCTAGTTTTCTGCATTATCGTGTTCGTGTGGTGAATTGGACTTTGCTTTCCAGAGAAAAGTCTGATTGTAGCTTTTCTCAAATGGGTTTCTAGCCCTCATTGCTGGGAAGAAAACCTTTTAAACACCATGGCAGCATCTAATCTAAAGTTCCAGATCTAGACCTTTTCTGGGGTTTGCCAAAGCCAGAAGGGAAGAACTTATTTAGTGTTTCGTATCCCACTCAAAAGAGCTTCTACTTGGGATCCACCAATATGCCACGAATTCCATTCCTCTTTCTCCTGTGTCATTTCACTGTTGAGATATAAAGAAGTTGTGAAAACATTATATTGTGGCCCCATTTGACAAGGAGGTTGTGCATTGTAGTGTCATGGTCCAGAAATTATCTGTAAAAGTGTATTTCAGTTTTTCACCCTGGGATATCTATCATCCTAAATGCTAAACAAGTACTGAAGGACTTGAGTCTAGGGATAGGTACAAACCAGGAAAATGCAGTTTATGGCAGTTCGTGGTTCAGGGCATGCCCAGCTCACAAACCATGAACCATCATGAACTTTTAGGGGCTAAACGAACCTGTTCAGATGGTAGAATGTTCCCCCAGCATGTTAGAGACACCAAACTCACAGGAGATCTCTGGCTGACGCTCCTCTACCTGCCCTCCACGTTTGGTGAGAATTGGGTTTACAGGGTCCGAGTTACAACCCCCCAAAGAAGATGCCCCCATCCTCCATTGTTTCCAGTGGAGGAGAAAAAACCCAGCAGAATAGAATCAAAGGCCCAGAGAACCTCTGCAGCAGAAACTGAAGATGAGGGGCATTTTGGCAAGCCCAGCAGAACCAGTGCAATGTGCCTAGCAGAACTGGTGCCACTGTGACATTGCAAACCCAACAGGACTAAAGTCAAGCCAGACAATCTCTGCAGTAGAAACTAAAGGGAGGGGGGATTTTTGCAAGCACAGCAGAACCAATGCCACTGTGGCAGTGCAAACCTAACAGGACTAAGGTCAAGACAGGGAATCTCTGGTAGAAACTGAAGGTGGAGGGGCATATTTGCAAGCCCAGCAGTACTAGTGCAATCAAAGAGTGCCCAGCAGAATCCAGTGGCATTGTGGCAATGTCTGCTCAACAGGACAGATCTGAAGTACAGAATCACTCTCCAAGCAAGGAGGGGTTGGAAGCCCAGGACAACCAGTTCAGTGTACAGAATTCCTGCAGTACAAACTAAAGAGAGGGACATTTTTTCAAGCCCAGCACAACCCAGCACAAGAGTGCCCAGCAGTGGCACTGTAAGCTTTAAAGGAGTGATCTCAAAGCAGAATCACAGGAAATCCAAGCGGGGGGGGCTGTTGCGAGCCCATCACAACCAGTTACAATATATAGAATGCCCAGCAGAACCCAGTGCCACCGGCATTGCGAGCTTGAAAGGTCTGATCTCAAAGCACAGAGTCACAAAAACAAGCAAGGAGGGTGGCATTTTGCAAGCTCTGTGCAGGAAAATCAGAAGTGAACACAAAGACACGCTGGCAAAGGGGACGAGAACCCTCTTGAAACTGACATGACTAGTTTGAAATTGAGAAGAGTGTTTCCAAGGTTGGAGAATTCCCTCTGATCCTTTGCAGTTTGGTAAATATTTTGTTTGAGTGGAGTCTGTTTGGAAATGTATCGATTCCATTCACAAACCAGACCTGTGAGGGATGGGGAAGCAATGAGAGAGATGAAATTGTTGGTGGATGTTTAACAGCCACCTGTGACACCAAATTGTATTATCTGTTTCATAAACCAGATTTTTTTCCAGAACTTTGATGACTTAAAGTGTGCCTTTTTTTTTTAAGGGACTGGCTAAATGTGTTCAGCCCTCCTATTATTCCTCCAAGCCAGCAGTTGGCAGGACATGCTGAAATGGCAGCAGATTTGATCCCTCAAGGTAAGAACAGTGTGTGTGTGTGGAATACATAGTCCTGTGTCTGTAACGATCTGATTAGTATGATTGCCACCTTGATGGCCCTAGTTGCGTGGAAAAGTGGAATATAAATGTTTTAAATAAATCAATCAATGTAAGGGGCTCTTCCCGAAAGCCCATGTCTATTTGCTTCTTATCCAAGTTATGGGTGGCCTCCATATTCACTATCGAGGGATAGGCTCTTCTTTTTTGTCATTTCTTGATTATAAATCACAAGAAGGGAATGCACAAATATTCGGTGGGGAGAGAAAACCCCGCTCCCAGACCCTTCCTCATTCTCTCTTGCTCTGGCTCTTCCCCAGCTTCTATCTCTCTTCTGACATACTTGCTTCCCCCCCCCCCTTCCTTGCTAGCTCACCTACTTGATTTTTTCCCCTGTTCTTACGCCCATATTTGCTCTTGGAACATTTCCCCTCCCCCGGGCTCTGTTCCGCCTTTCCCTTCCCCCGCCCTTGCTTCTCTTCCTTGTCATTATTGCTGCCCCTGCTGCCGTGTCTTTCTGAGCTGTGAAACAACCCCTCACAACAATGGATGCCTCACTGATGAGATAGGTTTATTAATTTATGTATTTACTTCATTAACATACTTACCCCAGCTTTCTCCTCTATAAGGACCTAAGGAGGCTTATATCATTCTTCTCCCCTCCATTTCATCCTCATAATAACACTGTGATGTATTAAAGATCTGATTGGCCCAAGGTCAACCAGCAAGCTTTCATAGCAGGGTGGGGATTCAACCCTCGGTCTCCCAGATCCTAGGCTGACAGTCTAAGTACTACAGACACTCAGGCTCATAACTACAGTGGGGCCTTTTGGGACCCAGCCCCCCCAACTTCCTGCCAAGGCCCCCTGACTTCCTTTCAGCCCAGACCCCCAACTCTCTGGCAGGATGCGGTGGCCGCCACAAACTCCCCCCCCCCCCATGCCACCACTTCTCCTTGCCTTCCCCCTGCACCACCTCTCTGGGGCCGGCTGAAGCTTGTGAGTCACCTTTAATCGAATTAGCCAGTGTCCCAGTGCCCCCTGAAGAATTAAAATGCCCCCCGACTTAGAAATTCCTGGCTACAGGCCTGCAGACACTGCCTTTCAACCCCAAAATGGCGGGTGACATACATGTTTCCACAGCCAGGAATATAGGTGCAAGGGCAGAACAACCAGGGGCTAAGCCCTAGTGGTCCCTGTCTCAAATTAATCCCTGGAGTGCAGACGTTGTGCCAAGATTGGTTAGGGTTTGTTGGCCCAGCAAGAATGTAGCTTCTTGGTAGGACTGCCATTTACCTAGTAATGGTGGCAGTCCTCCAGACAGGAAGCTTCCACATCACTATCTGCGATAATAGGTGCCAATACATTTATCCAACACGAATTTGGTAGATGTTCTTGTAAAGCTATCTATGCCTCCAAGCCCATGCATAGATCCCTGCCAACAACACGCCTACATACGTACTTTCTATAAATGCAGTGTTGCCTCCACAAAATGGAGTATTAGCTTGAACCAGCCAAAGAGAACATAAAATGGTGACCAGCTTGTAGTAGAGCCAAAGATGCAGCAATCCTTTCCAGGTTGCAGGTTTAAGAGTAAAATTCCCGTTCGCGGGGAGGGCAGGGTAAAAATGCAATAAATAAATAAATAAATAAATAAAATAGTTCACGCAAGCAATCATGATAGGAATATAGGGGTGAGTCTACAACATTCAGATTTAATCTCTCCTTGTCCACTTTCCCCAAGTGCTCTGGTGGTGTTTTCTGCTGCACCTCAGGGTTACAGTGGGCTCTTACCTTTTCCCTCCATGTGCACAGGATTCAGTGTGAGATCTCATATATATATTCAGCTTTGTACTTTGGCTACCCTCCCGAATGAAGCCATCGCAGTGATTTATTATTTCATGCAGACAATGCCCCTCAAATTGGGAATCGTTTCATGGGTGTGTAAATTTGTAATTGCATATGACAGCAGAATAGAATCCGGCTGTCAAGACAGGGCCTTGCTTTGAAGAATCTGACAATCCTTTATGTTAAGGGCCCTAAACACGCCAAAGAGAATGGGATCGTAATCTTCCAAGTGAAAAGCCACGCTAGATATATATTTCAGATTGGAACCTGAGAAAATTCTTAATATAGGAACCCTAGCAGTTGCCATAACCCTGCTACGATTCCCATGAAGCAAATAAGTGAGGTGCTGGATTTTAAAAGTACTCGGTATGATCTACAAAACGCTATTAAATGCACCTGCCTCGAGAATAATAAAGCCAATTTGGAAAATTTGAATTGGGTAACTATATGTACTTTTTAAACAGATTTTCACAGTAAGATTTTTGCAATCCAGAGCATCTAGTTTGGAACAAGCAACAGGTAAATGTCCTGGGAAACTCATAAGCACTTTGTAAGACCGTTGCCAATAAGACAGTTGGGTATAGAACATGGCTAGAAATATTAATGAAAGACAAGAGTGTTTCTGTTTGTTTGCCCGAGAGGATGGGCTGTGCGATCCTGTGCAGAGTTATACCAGTCTCAGTCTATTGATTGCAGTGGATTCAAATTAACTCTGCATAGGATTGCACTGAAAGTCATGCTTTGCAGGCAAAATTTGCAGCACTTTGGGCTTCAGGAAGAAGCAGTAAAGTTGCACTTAACATTCAGAAATCCTTCCATCTGCAGAAATGCTCCTGTGGGACCAAGCCAGTGTTCTTTTTTAATGTAACTGTTACACTTATGGCCATCCTGATCCACAAATCTGCTCAGGCAAACTACCTAAACTGGCATCCAGAGTGCTCAACAAGATTGTTGACTTTGTTCCTTGGAACATGGGAACCCCCATGCCGCAACAACTGCTGATAGGCTTTTAAAATGCCACTCCGTTCTTAAGCTGTCTGGGATGTGACCTGGGAGGTTGATGTTTAAGAAACATGTGGAACTTGTTGCACTCTCCCTTGGATCCCACCCTAGAATCTTAAGCTGTGTGAAAGCCAGGTTATACATGTCTACATCAAGAAAGTGTTCCTTCTAGCATTCTTTCACTACTAAATGTGAGGGGCTGCTCCCTTTGTGTCAGCTGTGGGGCTGGGGTCAGTTTATCCCCAAGAGTCATTTACTCCTCTATGTAGCAGCCTGTAGGATCATGCCTTGTGGCCCCGTCAGCCAAAGATCTCTGGAATCCTTGTTTTGTAAATTACAGCCAGAGTGGAAACTACAATACAAAAAGCAGCTGTCAGCCATGGGAGATTGCTGCCTCCTAAATCACTGACACACAAATGCTCAAAGATAACGAAATCAAGTTATCAGGCAAGAAAACCTGTGGTTATTTACTACCGGCGCAGAATACCCTTGTCAAGTTTTATATGCATCTCTAATGATATCCTAAAACAAAGAGAAATCAATTTTGTTGTTCATCCTAATAAAAGATGTCTGTGATATCCTTTATTTCAAGCATTCCCCCCCCACTCCGTTTTATAGGTCCCTGTTTGTTTCTTACGCATTTGCTCCCGCAAAAATATATCTTAACCAACGGTTGTGTGGGTTTGAAAGGATAGAAGAGACAGACAAAACTGAATATATGACTTCCTTTTTCAAAAATCCCCTATTCGTCAAGATTGTCATGATTGTTTTGCTTCCTTTCTTCTAGAAGAACTGCCCTGCAGGGGGACCCACTGAGTCCAGAATTCTGTTTCTAGTAGTGCTCAGCCGAATGTTGTTGGGCCCTAGCCAATGGGGTACGAAGCTGATAGCCGTCCCCTGCCGTTCTTCCCTAGCACATGTCATTCAGATGCATGCTCTGCTTCTGGCGTCTCCATTTAGAACTTCCAGTTGCAGAGGCAGGGTAGTCACACAGTCACCTTTTGGGCAGTAACCGTGCTGTGATCTTGTGGGCCCCGCACAATTGCCAGTCGAGACTCATACCCCAGTTGCCGCTAGGGTTGCCAAGTGCTTTCTTACCTGGAGCGGGGGACTCTCGGGTCACGTCTAGAGCGCGCGCACCACACACACGTTACGCGGAAGTGACGTGACGACACGGGGCACGCTGGGGGCAGGGCCATGACCATCCGAGGGAAAACCATAGAGTTTTCCTTCAGATGACATGGCCCCGCCCCCAGCGTGACCCGCGCCGTCACGTCACTTCCGGGTGACGTGCACGTTGGGGTGGGGTTCCCCCCGGGGCCCGACCCACCGGCGGTGGGGAACGGGCCTCTGGGGCGGGGGTTTCCCCGCCCCCCGGGGGGACTTGGCAAGCCTAGTTGCCGCACCCCAATTGCCTTTTGCCTTCCAAACTCAGGCTGAGTTTACAACCACCTTTGGCTTTCAGTGAAGAGATATGCATGTGGTTAAAGCATTATTTAGGCCTTCACATACTATTGATGTGAAAAACGAAAAAGCTGTTCTAAGTGCACAGTTATCATGTTTCTGACAAATGACAAAAAGGCTCAGACAGACTAGAGCCCAATTCACATGCGGACAGTGGCACAAGGGAAGGGGTTAAGCATTTGGGGTTTGCCATTGCCTGCCTCAGGATAACAACCCTGGACTTTCTAGATGATCTCCCATCCAAGTACTAACCGGGGCCCACCCCAATCAGCCTCTGAGATCTGATGAGATCAGGCCAGTCTGGACTATCTCGGTCAGGAGCTGTTATTTGCCCTGAGGGCGGCATCCAGGTACAGATTTCAGTCTCAGTGCTTAAAATAGTGGTTAAGTGAGCAGACTCTAATCTGGGAGAACCAGGTTTGATTCCTCACTCCTCCACTTGTACCTGCTGGTTGACCTTGGGCAAGACATAGTCCTGTCAGAGCTGTTCTTGAAAAAAAGCAATTCTCTCAGAGCTCTCTCAGCCCCTTTTACCTTACAGGGTTTCTGTTGTGAGGAGGGGGAGGGAAAGGAGTTTGTAAGGTGCTCTGAGACTCTAAATGAAGGGCGAGTTAGAAATCCAATTTCCTCCTCCTCCTCCTCCTCCTCCTCCTCTTCCTCTTCCTCTTC